GGCCAGGACTTTTACAAACTCACTTTGTAATAATTATTACGAAGAATGTATGTACTATCATGTGTTTCTAAACAAATAAAAGGTCATATTTTAATATCTATAAAAGAAATCTTTATTAGACCGTATATTAAAAAGAAATAGCACAGCTAAAAAATATTATTTCTTACAAAACCAATGCACGTTTCACACACTAATGTAAACAATTTATGGCCTTTTAAGTCTGACAAAACTGGCGCCAATGATGTTCTTTTTGAAACTCGAGTATGATACGGTAAACCTTTTTTTTCAACCTATCATTCAAATGAAAATGATATTTTCTAACCCTAAGTTATTCCTTACAGGATACCTAAATACATTCTTTATTCTTCCAAATGTTAAAATCAAGTTCTGATATAAATCTCTTCGTAAAGGAACTCTCTCGAAGCATTGGTCTTCTTGGATAACGCTGAAAATATTCTCGAGCCTGTATTCTTCCGTTTCTTGTATCTCTACCATCGATGGCCATCGTAAAATATGCCGTGTAATCCTAATAAAAGGGCCATTTCGTACGCTAATCTGGTCCTGAATACACGATGCCCCTACCTTTCCTCCGTCATCAGCATTCTGCCAAACCTTTCCATTTCCTCGATGGCATTTTTGATGTAACTATCCGGCACGAAAGGACTTTTATTTCCTTTTCGTATGAAAGGATTTTTACAAGAACAGAAAAGTTTACAGAGGTGGGTTATTTTCGAAGAACAAAGTCTCCAATTTAGGAAATATAGCAAGGACTTTCTCAGTTTTTCTGCCAAAGTTTCCGAATGAGAACGATACGTTGAACTGGCAGCATCTCATTACTCAGAATAACATTGAATAAACTTGCGATATTTCGTGAATCGTGATAGAGAACTTTAGAAAGAATGTGTCAAAACTACTCCTGCAAGAAAATGTATAAATAATCGGTTCTTTAAGAAATGAACTCAAGTCACCATTAGGAAGAAGTAAGAAAGACAGGAAGACGTGATTAAGGAACGGAATGAATAATAGAAAAAATTACATTTTGATGAATGTAAGGTTGAAAGGAATATCATTAACAAATGAATGGAGTAAGAAAATTAGAAGCGTTATTTATATATACATTGAATGCACATCTTATGACTTCCTTTTTGAGATTATCGCTTCATAGCAGAGTAGTTTTTTATCAGACTTTACGACTGGGTAATATTGAGGAAAAGATTACGAAGACTAAAAATTATAAATATTATTATTATTATTATTATTATTATTATTATTATTCGCGCTATGGGTCACTATATTGTATATTGCGCCAATATTCAGATTTTGCTTCACACATTTTATTATTACTAGAGTTAGGAGTTAGTTGAAATTCAGCTAATTTTAGATGACACTCCTAATAATGATCAATTGTATTTTTTATCAGAATAGCACCGCCACCTCTAACTTTGTTATCTGGATGTGCTGTCTGATACACTATATCCGTTTAGTTTAAAAGTAGGTCTGTTCTGCAGAATGATAATTCAGAAATCATACAAGTATCAATATTTTGTGATGTGAGAAAAACGTATATTTCTTGTTCTCTATTTTGTAAACCGTTTGCGTTCCCTAAAGCAATTCTTATGTCCTTATCTTAACCCCGTGATATACGGAGCCAAGGTTTTAGCCTTCCAGTTTATCAATCCTTTGTGATATTTTATTCGTCATTTTATACATTTTATACATTTATATTATGAAGCATGTCCATCATGGTAATTTGTTCAGGTTGCAATAGGTGAGTATCTTTAATTCTATTTGATTGTTGTACATCACCTTCTTTGCCATTTTGTGCATACACTTTACTGTCAACGACTTTTTTAGAAGTGAAGACTTTTGATTGTATGCTATTCTTTGTTTGAGACATTTTGTTGTTAATTAAATTATTTCTTCTTTTCTGCAGTTCTTTAGTAACAACGCATCCTCTATAGTTCGCGGGGTGAGCTTTATTGCTATTTACTTTCAGAGAAGGATCGCTCTTTTCTTTTTTCAATCGATTTTACGATTCCCCGCGCACTTTAGGCAGGCAGGTTTGCGCTGGCAAAATTTCTGGGTGTGTTCAAACCTCGGACACTTCTTACACTGTGGTTTGAGGTTCCTTCTCCTCCGAACTTCAATTGTGACCTTCAAGTGAAATAGGGAATCTATTTTTAAAATTCTTTTCATATATTATGAAATTTCAAATGTTAACATAAACAATGGTAAAGGAACAGTTTTAACCCCACTGTTCACCTTAGTTCTTTTGATAATTTTTACAGCACTAACGATCTTAAAGTTGTTATGTTTTAGTTTCTCTTTTATTCCTGTCTCTGTGCGTGTAGGATGCAATGGGTCGCCTAATAAACAGATGGTTACAGCAATTACTATCATGAAGGAGAAGAGTTTGTTTACACTCTGTTAATGTATTTCTGACCTCTGGTCTGCCGTGCTAAGTTGAAGACTGGCAATAATCGCATTGCATTTTCAGCTACCTTTTTGCCAAATTACACGAGTGTTGATAGCATGATGGGGCTCCAATCCATATGTTCTTATCATTAACATTTACCATTCACATATTTTATTATTCCTTTTATGTTCACCATCATGCTCGTAGCACATACACGATTACGAATTTCCCTCCATTTCTTGGAACACCCTTTCATTAATCCTTAAGCTGAGTAATAACACAGGCATTACATAGTACATTCTCGTTATAATTACAATTCTTAAGTTTTCTTGGATTCTCCTTCATTGTACTTATTTTTTTCGTACATTATTCCCTTTTTAATTCTTTTTTAAAAATTAGGTCTTAAAGTTTTTGGTCTTTTTTACCATCAGTCTAAAGTGCGTGTTTATTTATCATATTCCACACAATTCTTTGTAGTAGCGGGTGTAAAATGTCTTCAGGAACAAGAAGAAATACCAGTTGGCCATGAACGGCGTTTAATATCAACACCCGCGGGTCTTTACCAGCTACCACTGCTGGTACTGGTGCCGGTGCTGGTGCTGGTGCTGGTGCTGGTACCAGTGCTGGTGCCACCACCGCCACCGCCACCGCAGCCTCAGCCGCCGCAGCTGCTGTCGTCCGCAAAAGACTAGTGACCTTCGCTTCAGCCCACAACAAACTCTTCTTTCGCAAATCCATAACTCACTCTAGGGAATGCCCCGTTATGGAGAAGAAACCGCACTTATCTGTAATCTGAAAACGCTTCCCTCCGGCAGAATTATTGCAAAAGCGTAGACCAACAATAAAATACCTTCGGGGATAAAGTAATAGATAAGCGAAGCGAACGAGATGGGAGAGTCATTCGTCTACTGGCAGCTATCTCTCTAGAAGCCAATAGAATGTGAGGGCGGCGGCATGTGTGTGAAGTGGAGGAATGTAACACCCATGAGGTGCCCGCTTAAATCTGGCTGCGTGGTTGCTGATTACGTTTCTCTGCCAGCCGGCCACCCACGCGGACACGTCAGAGAAGAGACACATTCTGTGCAGGCAAGGCAGTCTAGAGATGAAGGCTTTGCACCTCGAATCGTGACGTCATCGGTTGGGGTCGGAGCAATGATGAAGAACATGATACATGATAGAAAATGTTCACGTTTTCTTTTGCTGTTAAAAGTTAAGCATCCACCAAACGTGTATTAATATTTTATAAGATGCCACAACAGTTGAAAAAAACATTTATTGCGGCTGATTTCATATCACACGTTATTCAACAGAGAAAAAATGGGTTCTTGGAGATGAAATTTGGAATATACTAAGGCAGATAAAATAAACGTGTTTAGTGAATATTGATGTTTTGATATTAACATGAGTTCAATTTTTCCCTTTAAAAACGTTAATTTGTTAATGATGATTGATTTAGTGTCTGGTGACATAATACATGCAATAAATTTCGCCAACATCCTAAGAAACTTGTTGGTTTCGATGAAGTATATTTCCTGTTAAATGTAGATATTCTTCTGCAAATGAAAGTACTCTAATGTGATGTCAAAGAATCAATCATAGTTTCTTTACTGTATTTGAGGTTTTTGTGAACAAACCATTTAAGCGTGTCGTATTAAATTACAAAATACTTCTTTGAAAACTTTAAAAACATACATTTCAGCTGGGTTCACTAAAAAAATATAGAATTTTTTATACAACATATGAACGATCCTGAATATTTGGAGACCTAGTGTTTAATAGAAACATCAGAAGAAGTAATGGTATCTTCACATACGATGTTCTAGACTTCAGCTTTTAAGATTCTTAATCAGGCAATAATAGTCGTTTCATGATTCTATTAGCCAAAATCCATTATTTTGTTTCACACAATCATTCTTCAGTGATGGCATACGAATTTAAAAATTGTTAAGCAGACTGGAACTACTGAAATTTGGAAACTGAAAAGTTAAATTACGAACTAATTATAAACCGCTCGTCCCCTTTTGATGATACTAAGTACTGATAAATTAATAACCACCTTATTCAACACGCATATCCAGAAACATCGAATCACAAACCATACAACATTAACTTTTTATTTTTATTTTTAAGTATCCCCAAATGTTAAATCTCGCGACGGACGGACCAACCAACAACCCGACTTTCCCGACGCCATTAGTGCATCACGAAGTTATGTGCAGCGCCTTTCATTCTAGAATACGTTGGTAATCTAGAGATTCTGTAGTTCTAGTATTGCAGTGTTCGCATATTGGAGTTAGTTGCATAGCTGAATGGAGTAATTTTCTCCTCGGCGATTCGCACGTAACTCATACCGACAAAAGAGGAGATTTGTTGATGACTACAGATATTTGGCCTGCTTTTGATTTATGCATATCTCGTGATAAAAGATGTTTGTGTGAGTAACTAGACTCATTTTAGATAGCTGATTTTTCTTTCTCCTTGTCGTTTGGAGTAAAATTTCATTGATTCGACCAGGAAGGGAGCACTTCGATTTTTGTACCAAGTGCAGATGAAAGAGTCGATGTGCTTCAAACATAGTTTTCAATTTAAAAGTTTAATTGTAATGTTTTTTTCTCTTTTGCAGGTAAGTGTTTACTTCGAACTCAAGGCATCATTCCATGTGGTGAGTTTGTCTCGAACCCTACGATGATAAGCAGTAAATAAAATATATTATTTTCATGCGCAAACAATTCTCTAGTTAACGATAATAACAATAATAATAACTGGAAAAGTATCTTAATTGTAACGGTAAGAATGTTAAATATAATACATATTATTATATATATTAGTGATGCAATTTATACAAATATTTTATATATTTCATCATTTACTCTCTTTACTAATTTGTTTTATGATTCAGTCCATCCAATATTGTTCTAATTCGTGAATATATGCACTATATCAATGGTGAAAAGTGGATTGGTAGATGAAGTGAAATTCGGTATCCTTTATTATTATTATTATTATTATTATTATTATTATTATTATTATTATTGTCTTACATTATTCACAGT